TGTCACTCTCTGGTGCCAAAGCAGAGAATTTGCCAGACCACAGGAGGTCAATATTGTCTAGCAGCCTTACCAACACTTCCACTGCTGATGGGGCTCTTAGAAGACAGTTAGGGGTAAATCAGAGCTAAATAACAGCACAGAAGACTGCGAGCCAGGACTGGGGGTTGTAAACAAACTTTATGGGACTGTGGGAAACTTGGCCACACCCATCATACGTGGACATCCAGCTAGCTAAAGTCATGCTGGACCACGGATGTGGCTGGCCCAGAGAGTGCCGGGTGAGAGAGGTTCACGTAACCCTGAGGAGGTTGCTATGTGCATATGGTGGCTGAAGCTGCTTACTGAAAAGTGAAAGGAAGATGCACCTCTACTAAGGGTGGGAGGTTCTGCCCCTGCTTCTGCAGCAGGCCAGCAGCTGTGTCGGGGGGCTGCCCCATGGAGCTCAGATCTGTGCTCTGAAGGCTGGCATCCCACTGCAGCTGTGGCAGGAGATCAGGTGCCCTCTTCTGCAGACCTCCTCGGGCTGGAGAGAGTGTCCTGGGGACACAGTTCCAGGTTAAGGACTTTACCTAAAACACGTTTTAACCCCTTCCATTCAGACAACGTACAGGCTGCACCAAAGTCCGGGAGGAGGAGGGATTTGGGTGTTTGGCCACTTCCCCCTGTGAGTCAGTGACAGATGGACCCAGGTGTCCTGGCTCCGCCGGCCTTGCAGTTACCAACTCTGCCCCTGAAGGGTTAACGCGAAGCCGCTCATCCCTGCTCCGTTTTCCTCCGCCAGGCTTTGCCGTCCATTCAGATTCCGGTGTCGCCGCACATATTCACCAGCATCAGCTGGGCTGCCGCCACCTCCACCCTCCCAGCTCTCTCCCCGGTGAGTCCCGCTGGCCTGGCTCTTCCTGTCTTTCCAGAGTTCGTTGCCCAGCGTCTTTGGAAAGGGGTTGGGGAGGAGAGGGGGAGAACTGGGTTTAGCCTTTGTCACTCTCTGCAGCTGATAGAATCACAGCACTAGAACGGGAAGGGACCTCGAGAGGTCATCGAGTCCAGTCCCCTGCCCTCGCGGCAGGACCCAGCACCGTCTAGACCTGTGGTGTCCAACACCTTAGCCACATGTGGCTGTTTGGCTGATTGCGTGTGGCTAGTTCACTATAGCAGTGGTTACTGCTTCAGAACTGGTGGAACACCATTGATTGAGCTATTTAAGAATACTGTATAGCTCTCTGGCCCAGCTCTCTGCGTTCAGCTCTGAAGGCAGCACCTCCACTAGCAACAGTCCAGAGCTGGTGGGGAGCGCTTCCTTTTTTCCCCTCAACAATTCTGGTGCGGCTCTTCGCATTTTTTCCGCCGCTGTTTCAGCTCCCTTCCTTTAATGGGTTGTCCACCCCTGATCTAGACCATCCCTGACAGGTGTCTGCCTAACCTGCTCGTAAATATCTCCAGTGATAGAGATTCCACAACCTCCCTGGGCAATTTATTCCAGTGCTTAACCACCCGGACAGTTAGGAAGTTTTTCCTACTGTGCAACCTAAACCTCCCTTTGCTTCTTGTCCCACTATTAGAGTTAAGGAGAATAATTTGTCTCCCTCCTCCTTGTACCACCCTTTTAGGTACTTGACAATTGCTCTGTGCTGCTCCGAGGTGAGATCAGGGCATTAACCCTGACTGCAAAGACAGCCGGGGTTGGTTGAGCTATACGAGAACACATCTGTTCTCGGTGCTGCTCTGTGGGTTCCCCCAGTCTCCAGGCACTGTTGGGTACAGAGGCTGGACTGGAACCGGCTGCCTGGACAGACCCCGGCTGCCGAGAGCGAATTCTGTCTGGTGTGTGGGGCGACTCACCGAGCTAATTGATTCTCTCGTGCAGGTGCGAAGCAGATCCTTGAGCTTCAGTGAACACCAGCCACCGCCGCCAATGCTGAAGTCTCACCTGATTGTCGCGTCGCCCCCCAGGGCTCCCAGCGGCACCAGGTAAGTCTGCAGGGAAGGGGAGCAGTGGGGGACCATCCAGCCTGGGTACTGTCAGAGAAGAGCGTGCGGAGTCCAGGAAGTAGTGAGCAGGCCCCCTGTCCGGCGAAGGACAGCTGGGTGTGGTTACACCCTTGCAGGTGGGACAGTGAGAGAGGAAGGAGGCTGCTGTGGTTGTGTTGCATTAATTTAGATGGGCTCCGGGCCCAAAGAGTCCAAGGAGTTCCCGTGACCTTGTCACTGTCCACCATTGAACAGTGTTCTACGGGGTTTGGGAGAGAGACTTATTCCCGTGGCAAACAGCATCAAACAGCTTGTAACCCTTTATGAAAGACACAGAAAAAGAAGGAGACAAACCTTGGGAATGTAAATGCATTAAGGGCGGCTTTCCTTTTAACCTCCATTTTAAGGCCCTTCGTGCCTTAGACGAAGAGGGCTTTTGGATGGAAAAACGTCTTGGTTGCCAGCCTTTTCGGGGGGTTGCAAGATGGCTGTAGCTGTACTTTGCGGGAGACGTGGGGCTGAGTATCTGAAGACTTGGCTTCTTTTCCCAGCTGTGCGACTGAGTCTCTATGACCCCGGGCAAATCACAACCTCCCTGTGCCTCAGTTTCCCCATATCCAGAATGAGAATAATACTATTTTCCCAGGAGCATTGTGAGGCTGAGCTCTTTGGGGCTGCACATGTCTCTTTACTCTGTTTGTATGGTGCCTAGCACAGTGCTCCCTGAGTAGCGGCAGAAATACAAACAACGTCCTCAGAGTCCTTTGATAGCCCCAGGGACCAATTATTGACTCAGAATCGATGAAGATTAGGAAGTCATGACTCAGGAGTCATCGAGTCCAACTCCCTGCTCAGAGCAGGCCCAACCCCAACTCAATCATCCGAGCCAGGGCTTTGTCAAACCGGGACTTCAAAACCTCTAAGGGTGGAGATTCCACCCCCTCCCTTGGGAACCCAGCCCAGTGCTTCCCCACCCTCCTAGGGAAATAGTTTTTCTTAGTATCCAATTGACATCTCTCCCGCAATGTAACTTGAGACCATTGCTCCTTGTTCTGCCATCTGCCACCACTTAGAACAGCCTCTCTATCCTCTTTGGAACCCCCCTTCACATAGTTGAAGACTTCATCAAATCCCCCTCGCTCTTCTCTTCTGCAGACTAAGTCCAGTTCCCCCTGCTGCTCATCATCAGTCAGACTCAGTTCTGTCCTGGCCCTGATCTCTGGCCTGGTCTCCTACCAGATTCCCTTCTATCTCTTCCACCCTGCGTAGGAGGACAGCCTTGTATTTCCCATGCTGCCCCTGTGTGGAATGCCCTGCCAGGCTGTGTTATCCTCACCACCACCCCTGGCTCAGCAGCCTCCTTTTGAACGCCCTGGACCACCCTGGTTTACAAGTGAATTAAAATAAGAACGAGGCGTAGTGAAACCAGATCTGCCAGTGCCCGATCTAATTGTCCACCTCCTCCCTGGCTACGTCTAGACTGGCATGATTTTCCGGAAATGCTTTTAAAGGAAAAGTTTTCCGTTAAAAGCATTTTCGGAACAGAGCGTCTAAATTAGCACGGACGCTTTTCCGCAAAAGCATTTTTTGCAGAAAAGCATCTGTGGCCAATCTAGATGCACTTTTCCACAAAAAAGCCCAGATCGCCATTTTCGCCATCGGGGTTTTTTTTTCAGAAAACAAATCTCAGCTGTCTACACTGGCCCTTTTGCGCTAAAGTTTTGCGCAAAAGGGACTGTTGCCCGAACGGGAGCAGCATAGTATTTCCGCAAGAAGCACTGATTTCTTACATGAGATCGTCACTGTTCTTGCGGAAATTCAAGCGGCCAGTGTAGACAGCTGGCAAGTTTTTCCGGAAAAGCAGCTGATTTTCCGGAAAAACTGGCCAGTCTAGACACAGCCCCTGTGTAATGCCCTTGGTGGGAGCGGACACCAGCACCTTGTCTTTGGAGATGTTCCTCTGAGGTGCCAACAGGCTTTTGGGCACTGTCCGTGCTCTGGGGCTGTGTGAGATGTGGAGGGGGATGTTTTAGAGGCTTATACTCCTGTCCTGCGGCTCTTTTCTATTGGTTAAAGCCTCAGTCTGCATAGCCTCCCCGCTGAGGCTTTCTGCCCAAACAGGTCCCCTCATCCCAACCTCTTTAGACGCGCATGAGACATGAACAGCCTAGCCCAGACATGCCCACTGTGGGGATAGGCCTTCGCGATCACCTCTGCGTAATGCTGCAAGGGACAGGAGGTCGAAACTCATGGTCCCCTGGGGACGGTAGTGCCCGGCAGGGGGATGACTCTGTGTTCCTGCAAAAGTCCCACAACCCCAAGAAGAGGTCACACATTTAGGAGACCGGATGCGTTCCTGCCTAGTCCAGGGTTACCCTGGGGGCCTTCCACACTTCAAAAACCCTCTGAGAATCTCCTGCCATAGCGGTGGTGGCTCCTGTCCCCATCCCAGGAGGCTTCTGGTGCTCGATGGCCCTGTAACGGGAGGCACTCACCCCCGTTTGGCCGAGTGCGCGTGCCTGCACTTCCCTCAGTCGTCTGCCTTTTCGACTACTCGGCCTTCCGGAGTCACGCAGCCTTGTGTGAAACCACAGACCCCTTCTGGGAGTACAGTCCTAACGGGCCCGTCCCAGTGCCCTCTGTTGGCGTCTCTTTTCTCACTCAGGAGCCTTGTGTGAAACCACAGACCCCTTCTGGAAGTACAATCCTAATGGGCCCGTCCCAGTGCCCTCTGTTGGCATCTCTTTTCTCACTCAGGAGTGAGTGATGCCTCTAGGCAGTTCCCCACCCCAGCTCTAGGGCCTCTCACTCAGGGCTTTACCTCAGTTCATCCTTCTCAGTAGTTCTCCACCGGGAGCTGTCCCTGGTTCTGCCTGCCTGCCAGCCACCCCTGACCTTCTCCCTTCCAGGTCTGGGCTGTAATTGAGCTGCCTTGAGTCCTGCAGCTACTTTTATAGGCCTTCCTGGCCCCTGATTGGCTAGTTTCTCCAAAGCCACTCTAGCCACCTGGAGGATTTCTCTATGGCCCTTTTGGCCTTAGGGCCTAGCCCTATTACATGCCTCACATGTCAGGGGTCAGTTGCTTTTCTCTGCCACCTTCCATCTTGTTCCTGTTTTAAGAAAAGGAAAATGACATTCTTGCTGCCAGTCCCTGGAATGATCTTTGTCAGCTATAAATAATAACCGGCCTTAGCTCTAGCCTACCTTGGCGCTCAGATTTCCAGAGACTAGCCTTCAGGTGAGGCCGTTAGACCTTTCCTTCCTGCTCATTTCTGTCAGGCCCATATCTGTTCCAGGGTGTCCCTTCGATCCAGCGACCAGTTGTACGCTGAGCAGCGTCCTCCTCTTTGCTCTCTGGATGTCCTAGCTTTGCCTAAAGACTTAATAACGGGGGAAATGAGGCTTAATTTTTGCTCCTAAAAACTCTTGTGTAAGTACAGAGTAGCTGCCACATTCCACCCCAGAGGGGGCTGCATTTCACTGGTGGATGACTGAACTCTGCATCTAGTTTGCCTGCTTCTTTGCGACTCTTCAGGAAGAAAGCTGGTAGGATTATGTATTTGAATGATTTGCCCCTACTAAGATCAGCTAAGACCCCCTATTATGCATAGGCACTGTGCTTAACATACATAAGAGGCAGTCCCCACCCCAAAGACCTAATGAATTTAAATCAAGAGAAGTAAAGTGTGGGAGAAAGGAAGTGGTGTTCATCCCCATTTTACAAATGGGGAATTGATAGCACAGGTCAGGCCTAAGTCTGGCAGAGCTGGCAATTGACTCTCCATCTCCTGAATCATAGTCTAATACCTTAACAATAAGACCAGTCTTCCTCTGTATGAGAATTCTAAGGGGAGTTCTCTAGAGGTGGCCAGTGTCGCTGGTTGTTGATGGAAAACCATGCAGAACTAAGGAAAGAAACCCCATTAGTTTAAATTTCTGCTTTCCTTGGGCTTCCTCAGGACGGGGACCAGCCCTTTGGCTTAGGCGTGGTCTACACCAGAAAATTAATTCAACCCAGCTATGGCACTCAGGGGTGTGAAAAATCCTTCCCGTTGAGGGACATGGTTAAATGAACCTAGTTCCCGGTGTAGCAGGGCTACGTGGACAGACAAATGCTTGCGTCAACCTAGCTACCGCCTCTCGGGGGTATATGCATTGTCTGTACATACAGTGCTGCTGTAACATTTCAAGCGCAGACGAGCCCGCAGAACCCTAGAAGCTGCCCCATAGGGAAGAGATAAGACAGCCCATCCCTCTGCTGTTGCAGGGTTGCTCTTGACTGTTCATGTCTCACGGCTCTGTTTACATTGGGGCTTCGTCTTCAGACTCAGCTCAACCTTGCCTTGCCTTACACACGCTCCTTTCTCCCCTGAGCTCTGAAATGCTTTAATAGCCATGTCACCATCTCCGGCTTTTGTTACTCTGCAGAAAGGTCCGTGGTGAAGCCAAGAAATGCCGTAAAGTGTATGGAATTGAGCACCGAGACCAGTGGTGCACGGCCTGCCGGTGGAAAAAGGCCTGCCAGCGATTCCTGGACTGAGCACATGAACGTTTCAGGAGCATTGAATCTCTCTCTCTCTCTCTGCCGAGAGCACCCAAAGTTGGTCATTGCTGCAACCAGGGCACAGCAAACTTGGAGGTGTCTCTTGTGGCTTCAGCAGAGATCTCAAGAGCTGCGTGTAAATTCCAAGTTCTGTATATCGGATGTCTGCCGGATTTACTCATTTTTTACGCTTTCTGTGGGTTTTTTACAAATGTGGGTTTTTAAAAAAAAATCTTCCCATTTTATAGTCAAAATAGGGAGGGAAAGGAAGCAAGCTGGTTGTGTGGTGTTCACAAGAGACTTGTCGTTTGGTGGTCCAGGGACCAAAGAACTTTTTACTGATCTCCGAGCTCGACAGTAAAGTCTACTGAACTTTCAGGTCAGTAGCTGGGATAAGAAAGTGAGGATCAGCTCTGTATGTTACTTGACTGGCTAGAAAGTTCAAAGTCTTGTGTTGTTTAAAGGGACACTGTTAGAATAAAAATCATCGTTTAAAAAAGGAAAATTATGTTCTGGTGTGATAGTAACACCTTAAATTATTGGAATGGGAGGAATGTAACGTTCTTTCCTTTTTGCTTTTTACCGGCGATGCTGTGTTTTATTTTTTACACCTCTCTGCTTTGACAGGAACGCTGGACAGTTATGCCTCTGGGAAATTTGGCTTCCTGGTTTTCATGTGTTTCGATGCAACTGCATCAGCAAGGTTGAGATTTTAAAATATTCTATATCTACATGCAGATTTTTATCTTTTAATTGAAAAAAAAGAAGATAATTTTCAAATAAAAATTAATTTTTGTGTTTCTTAGATTTGTCAAAACAATTTATTTCTTAAATGTTGGGCTTAACAGTGTCTTTTTAAACTGGAGGGAATAAAGGGTTTTATTTTGAGACCTAATGTAGCTTGCTGCCAAGTTGGCAGGATCAATATTGTTAACCCAGGAGGAAAAGGAAGGATGGAAAACACACAGTTAGGCCCTGATTCAGCAAAGTGCTTCAGTACGCGTTTACATTGCTGGGTGTAAAGTCCATGCTGAATGAGTTGGGATTATGTAGATGCTTACAGACAAACATGTGCTTATGTCGTTTGTTGAATCGGGTATGTTCAGAAATCCCAAATTGTGAAAGATGGTCTGAACCCAGCTTTCTGGCTTTCATTTTTTAAATTCATATTCTAGGGTACGTGTAGACTACAGGGTTTTGTCGACAGAAGTTTTGTCGACAGATACTGTCGACAAAGCTTCTGTCGACAAAGAGCGTCTACACTACATTCAGTTCTGTCGACAAAGCAAGCCGCTTTGTCGACATGGCAGTGTAGACGCAAGGACAGTTTACATGCAATAACACCTTCTGTTGACAGAACTCTGTCAACAGAAGGCGTTATGCCTCGTAAAATGAGGTTTACCAGCGTCGACAAAACTGCTGAGTTCTGTCAACGTTATGTCGACAGAACTCAGCGGTAGTGTAGACGCTGGTATAGTTTTGTCGACAAAAGTCCACTTTTGTCGACAAAACTCTGTAGTCTAGACACACCCACAGTTACACGATTCGGATGTTTCTGATTTGATGGCGGGTCACTGTGTACGGCTTACTTTCCTCTGCGGGTAGAATTTGTCCCTGTTTGCCCGAGGCTCACGTACACGGCTGTCACTTCAGTGGAGTTCCTCCTGACTCACCCAGGTGTGTGAATAAGAGAAGAATCCAGCCCCAGGAGAAGTCTTTCTGGAACGGCAGGGAAAGCCGGAGGGAAAGCTCACAGGTTCTAGAGGCCTCTCTGATTTTTGGAGACGTGCACCATTTAATCTGCAACTAGCAGGTCCAGTTTTTATGAGTTTTGGTCTTTGCTCTCCAGACTGACCAGCCACCTGTAGGAAGTGTCCAGTCTACTGTCTGAGCGGTGAAAAGCCAGTTAGCAGCAAGCGTAGTCCAGCCGCCATACCAGCACACCCATTGCGGCCGCTGTGAGGAGCAGCAGCATGTGCCGCTTGGTGCAGAGAGCTGTCCTGCCCTGTGGCCCTGCAGGGACAGGACCCTAGTGATCACAGTCTCCGTCCACCTCCCTGGGCGCTTTGGAGCGCAAAGGCCAAGAGTTTAGTTTGAACACATCCCCGTTCTGTGTCTTGGAGTCGGCGTTGAACCCGGCGCTGTGGGCGACGGTAGCAGGCAGGGTTGACTGGGACGCTTTCCCCAGAAGGAGCCATTTTGATGCAGTTCAGCTCAGTGGGTGTTGCCACAGTGCCCTGGTGCCGTTACTAAGGCGCCAGGGCTGCAGTTCACGGGGTCCCTGTCACTAAAGCCATTCACGTGTGCGCACTCTCTTGTGCAGAGAAGCCTGGTGCTAAGAAGTCTGGTTTGTTTGTCAGCACAAAATGGCAGCTACACACAAGCCACCGGGTCCATGTTTGCGTAGCTCGGCTCCCGTCAGAGCTGGGAGGAGGGGGTTTGTCCTAATGGGAGTGGGTGGAAAGGGGGTTGTTGGACTTTATGCTGCGTTTTTGATAATCACAGGCTGTAAACGGCCTCTCAAGTCACAGGCAGGTGGCCTGGCTGTGGCAGAAACAAGCCTGGTGTATTTTTAAGGACCATACGACTGACAACACTTTCTTTGTAAACACCATTTCATGTGGCCAGGAGGGTGTTATTTCCTCCCGGATCCACGGGAGCCTGGTTGTTAAAGGGGCGGGCGGTGCACTCAAAGGGGGTTATATATCTGGGTGCTTGTTGGGTTTTTTAAAATAATTTTGTACATATATACAGTGTATTGTTTTAGAACCCAGTCTTCTGCTCATTGTTAAACTGGTGAATGCTAAATTGGCCTGTGAGAAGCAGGGACAAAGTGAACGTGTCTCCCTATGTGGTTTTTTAACCTAATCTACTGGTTCTCCAGTAGAAATGGGATCAGCTGGGTTTGATTCTATTGGGTCAGGTTCTCCAGCCGGGTCCATGTGGCTCTGATGCAAAGCCCTGTGACAACAGTAGAATTCATTCAGATGACCGGCCCTGTTGGGAAGGGAGAGTTCATAAGAGGCTCCCTCTAACACTTCAGCCCCTCTTCTGTGATTCTGACTCTGCCGACCCCCTTAGAGAGCTCTGACAGTTTGAGATCCGCTGGCTTAGTCTCTTGTGAGAGATGTGGGTGATGGAAGGGGCTCTGATGCAAAGCCCTGTGACAACAGTAGAATTCATTCAGATGACCGGCCCTGTTGGGAAGGGAGAGTTCATAAGAGGCTCCCTCTAACACTTCAGCCCCTCTTCTGTGATTCTGACTCTGCCGACCCCCTTAGAGAGCTCTGACAGTTTGAGATCCGCTGGCTTAGTCTCTTGTGAGAGATGTGGGTGATGGAAGG